ATTTTTATGTCTTTCTTTGTTATTGATTTCGCTTTTGTTCTACTTTATTTCGGCCTTCGACGCGACTTCAGAATTCGCGCCATTACATTGAACTGAAAATGTCTTTAACCGGCAGCATTTCTCTGCTTTTTTCGTTCTCTTTCTTTCTTTCTTTCTTTCTTTCTTTCTTTTGCCTTTTTGGCTTTAATTATATTAATGTTTTGCACTTATGTGTACATTAATATGTGGTTATGTTTACATGTAGTGCGTGAGCTCAATTGAAGTACACGTGTTTACACACACACACATATGTGTAAGTGTGTGTGTGTGTGTGTGTGTGTGTTTTAGTGCGGATTTTGCCTCAATTGTTTTTGTTTTCTTTCTGCCTTTAAGTCACTGTCGGCGTCTCGTTTATTCTTTCTTTTCTTCCTATTTTTTTCCTTTTTGCTTTCCATTCTTTTTATTTCTTCACCTCTATTTGTTCCTTCAAATTTTCTTCCCTTTCTTTCTTTTACCACTATATGATTTCGCTTTGCCTTTTCTTTCCATCTTTCTTTCGTTTCTTCTGTCTTTCACCACTATATGCTTTTCTCTTTGATTTCCCTTCTTTGATTTCTTTCTTTCTTTCTTTCTTTCACCACTATATATTTTCACTTTGCATTTCCTTTCTTTCTTTCTTTCTTTCTTTCTTTCTTTCTTTCCTTCTTTCGTTTTCTTTTTGTTCACTACTACATGTATCTTTTCATTGTTTTTTCCTTCCTTCTTTCTTTCTTTCTTTCTTTCTTTCTTTCTTTCTTTCGTTTAAATTCTCTTTGGATTCATTCCATACATTTTGTTTTTTATTCTTTCCTGTATCCATCCTCTTTCATTTCCTCGATGTAAGGTGTTAGTGAGATTTTAATTGTCTTTCAAATTCTTTACTTTGTAAACCTTTTTTATTCTTTTCTATTTTTTGACTCAGTTCCTTCTTCCTAATTTTATATTGATTTTTTTTTTAATTTTAGAAAGCCAATTTACTACCATACATTTTATTATCATTTCTTTTACGAGCCTTTCATAAAAATCTATGTCTGTTTCTCCTTCGTTCGTTCCTTTTTTGTTTTAACCCTATCCTACCTGTTTTGGGGTTCATCTTTTCTCATTGTCTGTTCATTCTTCATGTTTTTTATAGTATTTTCTTTTTATCCTCAATACAAGAGCTGTACACACACACACATATATATATATATATATATATATGTGTGTGTGTGTGTGTGTGTGTGTGTGTGTGTGTGTGTGTGTGTGTGTGTTGTCATCCACAGACGGACTGTTTCGCTCGCTGTATCACAGCTCTTCAGTGTAGCTAGACGTCAGATTGCTTCAAGCCGGGATCGAAACCCGACCGATTTGGCATCAATCAGAGATCCTATCCCTCGGCTATCGTCGCATATTATGAAATGGACTAAGTCCGACACTTAGGAATCGAACCTGTATCCTACACGGAAACATCATATACCCTGATGTGCTATAATATTTAGCTACAGAGGAAGCGTCTGCTTAGCAAAGCCCAATTACTGTTTTAAACAATATATTTCCCATGATTCCTCTGTAGATAAATGGTATAGTTAATGGGATAGTTAATGTTATTGAGGATTGGCTTTTTCTTTTCTTTTCTCTTTAATCGTTTTGACAAGTGAATGAGATTATTACAATTGTCTGTTCTACTGGTATTAACTCTGAATATGGCCAAAATATGCTGACCGTGTTTGGAAAATAAAACATCCCTATAACTCTAGATACATATAAAACAGAACCCATACATTGAAAGTAAAATAAAATCATCTTTGATAAAGGCTAAAATTATAGACGAAAACGCCCGGAAATGTAAAACTTTTGGCGAGTTTCTGCACACTTTGTGTCCAAAAAAGAAAACACTTGTACGAAGAAGAAGTAAATAAAAAGCTTATCCGTCCTAACTTATCCGTCCTAACTTATCCGTCCTAACTTATCAGGCAACTTTAACAAAAAATGCATAATATATATATATATATATATATATATATATATATATATATATATATATATATATATATATATATATATATATATATGTTTACTAAGTATATGTATATACATTTGCAATTATGTATGTTTGATATGTATATATGTATGTTTGATATACTAATTTTCCTTTTAAATCTTTGTGTTTTCGCTACGTTACGTTACACCTATCCGACCACAGCCGTTTAAACACACACACAAACTTACCAGACTTCATCCGAAGCATACTAGTAGAAAATACAAACATAATAACTTCATCCACATGTAAAAATAGGTTAAAAATTATGGAAGCCCTAATAATAAAAAGAAAAATGACAACACTCAATAATATTAAATAACACGGCCACAATGCGGTGTTTTCGGAAAATGATAAATCCCTATAATTCTAAAAACATACACGCAACAAATACATCGAATGAAAGAGCAAAAATAAAATCATCTTTAATAATGACGAAAGTGCTCGGAATTAGGGAAAGTCTGTACAGTTCCTATACAGCCTGTGTACAGAAAAGAAAACATGTTCGAACACAAGAAAAATTAAATAAAAAGCTTAATGGCAGTACCTAGTCTGTAGTCTTTAATAAGAGATGTCTAAATGAAGAATTGCTGCCTAAATACACTATATATATATATATATATATATATATATATATATATATATATATATATATATATATATATATATATATATATATATATATATATATATATATATATATATATATATATATATATATATATATATATATATATATATATATATATATATATATATATATATATATATATATATATATATATATATATATATATATATATATATATATATATATATGTTGAAAATATAGCTTTAAAGTATGCAACATTTATGGGTAAAATGCTCAATATAAAGGGAGAGAGCTTCTGAAAATGTGTTCTGTGCCTTGGCTCGATTATTTATATATGCTGGTCCATGATGCATTATATATATATATATATATATATACGCACACACACGCACATACACATATAGCTAGATAGTAGACAGATAGATAAATAGATATGTTATGAAAAAATAATGTTTTCAAGTATGCTATGTTTATGTGGTAAAAACCCTTAATATCCTTAATAGAGCGTTTGTAATTATAAGAAATGTGAACATTGTCAACAGCGAGTGGCAACAGCCTGTTTCATGCTTCAACGCAAACTTAAGGTTATATATATATATATATATATATATATATATATATATATATATAGAGAGAGAGAGAGAGAGAGAGACCTGCAGACAGACAGACAGCGTGAATAGGAAGCAATGCTGAAAGATTGCTTGTCGAGTGAAACTGACAGTCACCAGCGCCCTTGATTCCTCTGTCCATGCTATCTATATTTACAAAGGCCATATTTCTGATACTGAAATCTTTCCCTCCGTAAATATAGCAAATTTTATGTATATATATATATATATATATATATATATATATATATATATATATATATATAGATAGATAGATAGATAGAAGGTATATATGTATGTAGATATGTAATAATACGTGATTATATAATCCAAGTGAATCCTAATATAAAATATTAAAACTGATCCACAAAGGGAGCTCAATGTATTTATTAGAACAGCGCATTTGTGGATCAGTGGAAATAAATAAATTACATAGAATAGAACTTCAAAATAACCCCATTTGAATAGCTATTTCACCCCACAAGATCTTCCTTGCAGGATATGTCAACACCAAGAGGTTAAGAAATAAAATTAAAAAAATAAAAAATTCAAAAAATATTTTACTTCTTAACCTCTTCAGTCAGTCATGTGCCATGCTTAGGCGATCATGTATCTTTCGATACATGACTGACGATGCAGAATTTTTTTCCGCTGTAGGTTGTCATTTCTTTCTGCGGTAGAATAGTTGCCAACCATGGCTTTAGAACCCGGTCTATCTTGCTATTTACCCATAGATGGGGGGAAACCCTTGGTGCTGACAAATCCTACTAGGATGATCTTGTGAGGTGAAATATTTATTCAAATGGGGTTATTTTAAATTTCTATCCTATGTTATATATATATATATATATATATATATGTGTGTGTGTGTGTGTGTGTGTGTGTGTGCGTGCGTGTGCGTGTTTCTATCGATCATTTTCTTTTCGATGCTTCTTAAGATGCGAATAAATCAAATATAGAGGATGAATTTTATGCTTCCATAAGTAAATAACCCAGAGCAAATAAGAAAGAAAAATACAGTAGATTCTATGTAGAGCAACGAATTAACATTGTCTAAGCGTTTTTATGACAACTGGATTTCAAATCTTATCGAAGCACTTATATTTTTATGATAGATTATATAAAAAAATAAATATAGCAGCTACAATAAAAGTGCACCGGTTTTGTAGATTGATTTTTTTTTTTATTGACGTGTTGCTAACGATACCTGGTGTCATTCTGGACACGTTGCCACGGAAGCATCCTTAAAATAACTTCCCTTTCTGATTCAACACAAACGTGGATTAAAACATCTACATTTCTCACTCACTTGTCTATATATGGCACCGAAAACGTACCATTTTCAAAATTTTACGAAAGATTTATGTAGAAAATCTTCTTATGAAATTTTCATTTGTTAAACTAGTAGGAAATTTATAATTTTTATGCGAAAAATATTCATTAAAATTTTTACATTTTTATGTCAATCTATAAGTTATTAAATTTATGCATTAAAATGCAAATCAAATTTGAAATGTAAACCATAATTTAAATTTCCATCCTTTCTTGTGTAATTAGCTTATTTCTTTTTAAGAGTTATTTGATCTGTTTTTCTTGACGGAAATCTAAACTGTTTTCTCGAAATTGGTTGAATTCTTTGCACGTCTACTTTCAAAAGAAGAAACAAGAAAAGGAATGGAAAAAAGAGCAATTATAAGTTTATCAATAAATTGTAAAAAGGGAAAAGGAAATAAAAATTAATAAGAAACAAAAAGGACAATGGAAACTATAAAGTAAGAGGTAAAAAGAGAACTGACAAAGAAAGAAAGAAAGAAAGAAAGAAAGAAAGAAAGAAAGAAAGAAAGAAAGAAAGAAAGAAAAATTCGTGAAAAAGATTGAAACCATGGAAACAAAATATAAAAAATAGAGAGAGGGAGAGATAAGGAAAGAAAGAAAAACAAATATTTAGAAATAAATAATAAAAGATATGGAGAAAGAAAGAAAGAAAGAATAAAAAGAAAGAAAGAAAGAAAGAAAGAAAGAAAGAAAGAAAGAAAGAAAGAAAAGTGAGAAAGAAAGTTTGAAAGGTTGAAAGAAAGAAAGAAAAAAGAAAGAATGAAAGATTGAAAGTTTGGAAGATGGTTTGAATGAAAGAAAGGCTGAAAGAAATGAAGAAAGATTAAAAGAAAGAAAGTATGAAAGATAATTTGATAGAAAGAAAGAAAGAGATAAAAAGAACGAAAAATGGATTAAGATTAAGAAAAGCAACGATGAATGAAAACAGAAAACAAAGAAACCAAGAAATAAAAAAGAAAGTCAAGAAGAAACAAACTGAAGGAAAAAGTAAGAACGTAAGCAATTATGAATGAGAAAGAGAAAAAAGAAGAAAAGAAAGGAAGGAAGGAAAAAAGGAAAGAAGGAATGAATGAAGGAAGGAAGGAAGGAAGGAAGGAAGGAAGGAAGGAAGGAATGAAGAAAGGAAGGCTAAAAGGAAAGAAGGAATGAAGGAAAAAAGGAAGGAAGGAAGGAAGGAAAAAGAAGGAAGGAAGGAAAAAAGAAGGAAGGAAGGAAGAAAGGAATGAAGGAAGGAGTGAAGGAAGAAAGAAAGGAAGGAAGGAAAAAAGGAAGGAAGGAAAGAAAGAAGGAAGAAAGGAAGGAAGGAAGAAAGGAAGGCTAAAAGGAAAGAAGGAATGAAGGAAAAAAGGAAGGAAGGAAGGAAGGAAGAAAGAAAGGAAGGAAAGAAAGAAGGAAGAAAGGAAGGAAGAAAGAAAGGAAGGAAGGAGGAAGGAGTGAAAGAAGGAAGACTATTAAAACAAAAATTGTAAACAAAAAACTGAAGTAAAACGAAAAAAGCTAATTAAAACCCGAAAAAGAGAAAAGAAAAGAAAAGAAAAGAAAAGAAAAAAGAAAAGAAAAGAAAAGAAAAGAAAAGAAAAAAGAAAAGAAAAAATGAAAAGAAAGTGAAATGTCCAGCTGTGCTTGTTAAGGCGGTACATAACGAATTTGAAAATAAACTGTAAGGCGAAAAAATCCATAAAAAAAAAAATTAGAAAAAGGATCGTTCAAAGGTGAGTGTTAGCGTGAGAGTGTGTGTACCAAATGGTTTTTTCTTGACTCCAGGTGGTGGGGAAGCCACTGTCAGGGTGGAGCCATCGAAAAAATATCAACTTATCCAACGGACCTGACACTGTTATTGAATAAAATATCTGTTTTCTGCACGCAGAGTGATCTCCTGTTTTTTATTAAAATCACGCGTTAGGATTTCAGATAATTGTCGTTCTACAGCATATGTTTTGAGGAGGCGATGCGATTTTTAATATTTTTTATTTTAAAATATCGTCTCGTGTTGAAATATGTGAAGAGAGTTATTACATAACTAAAACTGAGGAAAAATGACATGAGTAAAAAAAAAATATATTTATTATAGTGGATACTTCGTATTTAAAATAGACTCCACGTTTTTATTATGCAGTGTTTATCACGTCTATTAGCCTGCACATTCAAGAAATCTTAGTAAAGACAATGGGTTTACTGACAGGGATCAAACCTGCGCCACTCTCGGTAGAAGAAACCATCGTTTGATACAATGTATTTTATTGCTCAGTCACGAAAGACACCACAGCAAACAAGGTTCTATTTTCCCTTTTTATAGATACGACATCCGCTTCACTCAGATTATTTTCTAGAAAGATTTATATCTGCACAATCTTGTATCCGAAACGTGAACAAAGCAATTCCTAACGAATGAATGGATTTATTTTTAATCCGACATTTTAACATTTTTAATCCGACATGTTTAACTTCAATCTTTATTATTTCGGATAAACAGTGAAAATAGAATATTTCTTGCTCTGACGTTCTTCGTGGCCGAGCAGTATAGCACACAAGATCAAACGGTGATCCCCCCCTACAAATGGGGTCGCAGGTTCGATTTCTCGAATGAGCAAGTGGATAGAAGTGATACCCAACATTTATTAAATAAAAATGGGACGCCCCTTTCAAATATGGAGTATCCACTATAATAATGAAATTGCCAGATTAAATATGAATTCTTTAATACAAATATTTCTTATAAATATAAACGAACTTAACTGTGGACAGACCCGTCTGAGTTGACAGCCACGTTTTTCATTATCTTAAACAAGGAAATTAATTTAGGTCTAGATCATGTATCCCTATAAAAAAAAGATAATAAAAATCAGGGTTGTTAACACAGTCATGTATACCCAATAAATGTAACGTTTAAGAAATAACTTTGGATAGAAATTCCATTTAAAAAATTAAACAGAAATACTTTGTTCTTTACATAAGTAAATTCAATTACAATTTTCTTGATTCTAACAAATTACATTGGCTTAAGTAACAAAAATTATACACGTGTTGCGAAGTCAGGGATTGTTTATTGGCACTGGTTCTAAATGGGGAGGGTATCATTCTCATAAAATTAAATCACAATCTGAACCTGGCCTCCTTGTAAAAATTAAACAACTCATTTTTACAATTTTTTTTTATATTCCCAAAATATGGTTCTATGATCCAATAATAATTTGAAAAAAATAATATATATATATATATATATATATATATATATATATATATAGAGAGAGAGAGAGAGAGAGAGAGAGAGAGAGAGAGAGAGAGAAGTGTGCGAAGACAGACAGACCGGGAAAGAGAGGATAGACATAGGAATGAACACTGCATGTTGACTGTCATTTTCGCGCCACAAGCAATCTTTGGATACATTGTTTATAGTAAGATTCATGCAATGTAAGGCTCGTAAGCCACTTAAAGTAGAGTAGAAATTATGATGATGTTTGTAGTGTCTAATATAAATGAAAGATATTGTCGTAGAAAATATAGATTATGACAATAAAGAGGATAGATAATGATTGACACTTGACTTGAAGAATTTGATATTGTCGTGTTCAAGGAAGGAGCTTTGCGTGAATCTATCTCACCAAGTGTCTTGTGGTTCTTTATATAAGTTTAAAAAAATTAATTTATTTGCCCATGGTTTTACTAGGTTTAAATGAATCCATTTAATTCCAAATGTTTTTAAAGGGTTAAAATAAATTTTCTTCTAAATGATTTTTAATGGATTTCAAAATTGTATTTGCTTCCTAATGCTTTTTAATGATTTAAGAAATAAATTGACTTCCAAATAGTTTTTAATTGGCTTAAAAAATGAATTTACTTGTAAATGATTTTTAATGGATTTGAAGAATTTACTTCCAAACGGCTTAAAAATGAATTTATTTCCAAATGGATTAAAAAAGAATTTATTTCCAAATGGATTAAAAAAGAATTTACTTCTAAATAGTTTTTAATATATTTAAAAAATGAATTTACGGGCAAATAGTTTTTAATGAGTTTAAAACATGAATTTAATTCCAAATAGTTTTTAATGGGGTTAAAAAATTAATGCACTTCTAATGCGTTAAAAAACAATGAATTTATTTCTTTTCTTTTTTTAATGGGTTAAAAATGAATGATTCTACTTTTTCTCCATGTCAGGTTTCATAACGGAATGTCTCGTCACTTGTTCGAGAGATAAAAGAGTGGCTAAGTGAACATGGCGCAATCTAATCTTCCCAAACTAGCTTTTCTACTTAGATACTAAAATCAAAATGCTATTATCCTTGCTGATACTCAGCACAGAACCCAATCGACGAGTGCTCCAGTGATTATCGACATAACTAAACCATGGCTACTTCGTGTTGAATTCGACCCTCACTAAGTGCCTCACACATAGTCTTACCCTAGACTCAGTCAATAATAAATGCGCCATTTTTACCTTAATGTTTAAAAACCTAATCTCAGATAGCTGTACGCTTATACAGTAATCCCGATTCGCAGTGGATGCCACAGGCTTGTAGTCCTGTGACACACTAAGATGTGGTTATTTAAAAAAAAAAATTTTCCTTATTATAGTGCATTGTTTAACAGAGATATGCAAACACGCCGCCCACGCATTCTATTTTTGATCGGAAACCTTTCTTGACCCATATTTTCTGCAAATTTTAATTAGTTTAATATGTCCCTCGCCCCTTCCATACTTTTGCAGTAACAGTATTGAACGTGACTTACCCACAAAGCGCAGTCAGTCAATCAATTTTAAGGCCAGCAAGGTCTGTTTCTAGTTGGTCCCAAAAGGAGGAAGAATACTCGACCCCCCTCCCCGCTCTCGTCATCTTCCTCAGTTACCTGATGAGAGAGTATAAATGTACTTTCCGACAATGCCTCAGTTTCAATTTTTAATTTAATTTATGGAACTTGACTACCGGTGGGTCACTCACGGTTCAAGTTATAGAGCACTGAAGTTGATTTCAACATTCCATTGAAAGGAAAGCTAATTTTATTATGATTCAGTTAAAGATTTCAATTCGTTCGTGTCAGTATTGGTCTGATTTATCAGTTCATGTTTAACATTTTACTCATTGTTTATAGCATTTGATACGAATAGAATTTCGTGATCTTGATTTTGATCTTTAAATCAGATTAACTTAAAAATATTTTTAATATACTAAAAAATATTTTTTAAAAATATACACTTGAAAATATTTTTTTTAAATATGCCCCAAAATATTTGTTTTTAAATATTTAAAATATTGTTTGTTTAAAGAAAGCTAAAATATAAATAATTACTATACAAATGGACAAAACGGCTAAGCGGGATTTCTTTGTGCCTGTCTTTAACTTTCAAATATTTTAATTAAAAGATTTGTCTGTTTGAAGAAAGTTAAAACAAAATACTCTACAAACAACTCGTATTCTTAAATATTATTCACTTAAATCAAATTAACTTAAATCTTCATGCGTCGGACGAACGCACCACGCAAGCACGCACGCAATCACAGACTTTTAGTATTATATAAATGGATAAATTTGACAACTCATATTAAGGAAAGTTGACCCAAACCCCCACCCAACAGCCAAAAAGTTTTGGATCACCATTTGTGAATGTAGTGCGAACTTATTTTAATGCGAGAAAATGTATTTCTACCAGTGGCTGTCTCTGGATTTTATGCCCACTACTGGAGGTATATACGCCCCCCCACTCAACACACACAAGCTTTAGTAGTTCAAGTCTAGGATAAACCGTTATCTTTCCTAGATATCTTCATATATTGCACTTCTTACCTCCTGTTCTTACGCGCACCAACCTCTGTCATGAACTTCTAGAGCTGACGGCTATATTACATTGAAGCACCGGTTCCCGTATGATCACCGAAGTTAAACAACTTCGAGCCTGGTCAATACTTAGATGGGTGACCGCTTTAGAATACCAGGTGCTGCAAGATTTGATTTTCGGTTGGTGTAATAGACAATCGCTCGAAATTATTGATCGGAGAGCCGAGTTCCAATTCCAGTTGAGTTCGTTATACTCACCTTTGGGAAGCGTATGTATCCACCTCTTCTTCCCCCAACTATGGGTTAATTAGTAAGACTTTAAACGATTATTATCTCCCCTGCCCCAAATTCTTACAATCTAAAAATATTTTCTGGTTTCAAATAACCTGCAAAAGAGTTTGATAATCCGTAGAAAACGAATCAAGCAATTAATAAACCTATACCTTGAGGGGTTCTTTGACTTTGTATTGGGTGAATGATTAGTAAAAAAAACAAAAAAACACTGGAGTTGATGATCTCTCCATTAGCGACGGACCTGGTTCGATCACCAATCCCTAAAGCTCTCCCTCATTACGTAATGGCCCATTTGCCTACTTGTTGCTATGTACTCATTTTTTTACTTCTTTTAGTTAATGTTTAAAATCGGAAACGATATCAGGTATTGCCCTCGGGAAATACTGGATACCCACTTATTTTCGATGAACCATTTTAAACACATTTAACGCAGTAACAAAACACTCTGACTACTTGAACAGTAACCCCCGTCTTTCACTATTTTCTGCCCACTACAACTCCGACTATACATTCTTACTCAACACGAGTCAACTATATAGCTGGCTTTGAGCCGGACAGAAGTAGCAGGAGGTGACATCAGAGTAGCAATAAGTGTAATTTTCATCCAACCATTCACTGTCTCGTGCGTTCTTTCCTCACGGTTTCCTTAAGTTTAAGGTCCTGTACAAGAAAAAAACGAAACTATTTGGGCTCATCACATTAGAGTAATGTTCAGCAAGCTCGTGCGGAATACAATTACTATTATTTAATGATCTCGATCCTCATAACGTGTCTCTCGCTTTGGTGCCCTGTGTTCTGAATAAGTTCAATTTAGAGTACCTATTAGAGTACAATGTGAGTATATATTAGAGTACAAGGACGAATATATTAATAGTGCGTGAAAGTCATCAGCGCAAAACTTTTAAGAGAATGTCCAGCTTTGATTAAGTCTTTCATTTTCTATTGAATAAAATCTACCATGTTATTACTCTGACGGATCATTGGCTCGCAATTTAAAGAAGGACGTTTATTTGTGCTACAAATAAGAGTTAGTCATTCAAAGCTTTGTAAATGGTCCAGAATTAAGTTTACACTTACTCCCGGGGAAACACGAAAAGTTCGCTTCCTCCATAGTTAGACATTTTCTTTTCTTTTTTTTTAGAAAAATAGCATTTTAATAACTTAAAAAAAAAAAAAAAACAGCGAAAAAATCATTGAACGAAAAGTCAAAGTCATAAAAGACAGAATAGGAAAAATCGAAAGCAACAAAATTTCAATCGATCTTAAAATCAATATATCGAACGCCATTTTTTTTTTTTTATCTAGCTTTTTCTTTTCGTTTCTTTTCTTTCTTTCTTTTTTTTTTTTTTTTTTCGTTTCTTTGCTGAATTACCGCCAACGCTTTTCTCGGCGGGAAATTGAAAGCACGTGACGCTGATTGACGTCAATTTAAATGCAAAATCGAACGTGCATTTCAGGGCAATTTTCTTAAAACCTGTCTTGCCCACCAGACAACACCCACATTTGTGCACTGGGGTGCGTCCACTTTCGTATATATAAATGAAAATGAACCGGGATATAAATCTGTGATATGATAAAAGTCGGTTTTTCTCTATTTTAGAATCCAGGGATTTTTTTTTTTTGTTTTTTTTCCTCCGGATCATCTCAATATTGTTTTCATTACTTCTTTCGTCATTCATTCTTCTTGAATCTCTCAATTCATTTTTTTTTTATTCGATTTCCATTCCTGGTTTAACCGTCCTACCAGATTGGCAACTGGATCTCACAGTCTTATTCTTGAACAACCGTATGTTTCTTTTTTCGTTTTGTTTGTTTTTTTGTTCTTGCCTGCAGAACCCGCTTCCGATTTCTTGTTTCCCTAGCTGCTACATTTGTCAAAAACTTTAAATTCAACGCAAATCGCCATTTTCTGTCTTTCGAAAGCCTGCTCTTCTATTGTCCTGTCTCTTCACTAAAGTCACGTCCTGGGTATGACGATAAACTACAGCCGGCAGCAAGGCGTCTGATCGGAAGGTTTTGAGGAGTGTAGAACCACCTCTTAATTGCTGTTGTTCCCAGCCCCACTCAGACTTAGAGTGGTAGCAACTGTTAGGGTCGTAGCTATAGGTAAATAGCTACTCCCTCTCCCAAAATGGGGCCAAAACACTATGAAAGTGTAAAAATACATTTTTATAGTAAAAAAAGAAAAAAAACTGAAATACATTTTTGAAAAAAAATCACCAGTTGACTCTCGACAAAAACTCTCTTTGCAAAAAAATACGTCAATAAAATTTGATCTACAAACTGATTTCTTATAAAGAATGCATATTCTATTAAAACGAACCTATCCTAAAAAAAAACAAAACAAAAAAAAAACTTTTCAGCATTAAATAACCCATTGATGTTAATATGCCGTAAAACAAAATAAACCAAAGCAAACTACCCGTAAAGTTTTTGCATACTCATTTACTCTCAGAAACCGCTTGCATCCTAGTGGCATTATCTCCTTGCTCAGGCTGAAATGATAAAAAAAAACTAGTGTTGTATGGTACAAGGCCATAGGGATCAAAATTATTGTTTTTTAATTTGCTCAGCTAAGATACCAATATCGATTGAATTCACTAAGCTAGCAAATGATCTGCGAAACTAGCTTGCCTTATAATACGGATGGTACGTTCTTTTTAATACGAATGGCATGTGCCTTATAACACGGATGGTATGCGCTTTATAATACGGATGGTATGCTCTTTATAACACGGATGGTATGCGCTTTAGAATACGGATGGTTATGCGCTTTATCACACGGATGGTATGCGCTTTAGAATACAGATGGTATGCGCTTTATAACACGGATGGTATGCGCTTTAGAATACGCATGGTAGGACGGTGCAGACTGATTTTGTCTACATACGAGCGATATTAATAGCAAAAGTATTACTTTCTTTTTTATTAGAAGAAGCATTGTCAAACATTATTATTAATTTGTAGCTAGTATTTTTTTCGTCTTAATTTCACTTGTGAATGGGCAGGAAGTGTAGGTAGTTGGCCGCTCGGACCGAGAAATCGGAGAGAAAGGAATTCCCAAGAAAGTTAGATGGATGTCTGGCTGGGTGGAATTTCAGTTGCTTTTCATCGCAAGAAATATTTTAAAAATGAGATAATACTAATGTTACTAATACTAATACAGCTATCTAATATGTAACTTCCTATATAGGACTGACCGCGGGACAGTTTCCTCGGGAATGATGAAGGGACTTGAACTACATAGACTTACTCCTTATGACAGTTGTAAAGAATGTCATGGGGGCAACATGTGAGCAATGAGGAAGATTTTTCTTTTTTTGTTTGTTTTGTTTTGTTTTACTGCATATCAACCTCAATGCGTTATTTAATGCCGAGAAAAATTTTATTGCTGGCAATATATATTTTTTTTTTCAAAAATGTATTGCTGGAAATAATATTGCTGGTAAAAAGAATTTTAGAAAGTATTTCTGGTTTTAAAACCTGTTTTTACACTCGTAGTGTTTTGACCCCAGTTTGTAGGCTAACTAATTGCCCATAGCAATGACCCTAACAGGTGCTACCACCCCGGATCAGAGTGGACCTGGGAACACCGGCAATTAAGAAGTGGTTCCACGCTCCTCAAAACCTCCTGATCTAAGGCCTTGCTGTTGGACGTAGTTATTGTCTTACGAAGAGCACACTGAAGGGTTGACTGTCATATGTGTTGATGTACTAACCCGAGATTTAGTGTTAATCCTTAATTCTCTCAGATGGTTGAGGCAATTCTTTTTCAAAGTTATTCCTCGGTATCAGGTATTTCTCCAGTTTGTTCGGTTTTCAACAGCAAGTTTGAATTCGGACCCCTTCTATAGGGATGTTTTAAGTAATTAAATTGTATATATATATATATATATATATATATATATATATATATATATAAAAGAAAGAGGTTATAGTGGTTCCACGATAGAAAAGTGTGTATATTAAAAAGAAGGCAGGTACCGCAAACGTTTTTGGTTGTAATGTGGATGTTTTTTTAAAAAAAAACTATTAAGCTTTATTTTCCATAATTTTACTACACGTGTTTCTGGTCTCGCGACCGTCTTCAGGTAAAAGGCGGAGATTTCACAGCCAATTCAAGAAAGACATTCGTTTTACTAACACAAAAACAGAGAATGTCTCATATCGAGAATATTTAACATTGAAAAACATAAAAGAAAAAAATTCATTATTTTTAATAATGTGTGGAAATTTAATTTCCGAATACGGTTAGAACATTTGTTCGTAGTTAATGTTGTACACCTACCTGATCATAGCTCCATTGGAACCCATTTAAACACACACACAAATTTACCAGACTCCATTAGAAACATACTAGTAGAAAATACAAACATATTAACTGCATCCACCTGTAAAAAAGACTAAAAATAATGGAAGCTTTAATAATAAAAAAGAAAAGGTCAACTCTTAACAACATTAGCTACGAACAAAGCCACAATGTGCTAACCGTATTCGGAAATTAAAACATCCCTAATCATCCTTGATAATGGCTAAAGGTAAAGCGCTCGGAAATATAAAACATTTGGACAGTTTTTATACACCCTTTGTCCAGAGAAGCAATCTCTTGTTAGAACACAAGAAAAATTGAATAAAAAGCTCTACCGTAGTACCTTATCTGTCGTTTTTAATGAAGCATGCATAAACGATGGATTGGTACCTAAATATACAATATATATATACATATATATATATATATATATATATAGATAGATAGATAGATAGATAGATAGATAGATAGATCACGGAAGTTAAGCAACATCGAACATGGCAAGTACCTAGATCGGTGACCGCTTGAGAATACCAGTTATTGTAAGCTTGAATGTGCTGGTGG